GGGTGTTAAAGGTTGGGGGCTGGGGAAGAGTGGGGTAAGTGGCAGGGTTCCAGGCGTGCAACCCGCACAAGTGGCGAGCGTCATGACACCTACTCTATCGAGTGTCTGCCGATGCAGGGCCCGTCCACCCACCGTGGTATTGACCCACGTCGTCTGGGGGTGCGGGCAGGTGGATATGGAAGCTGTCTGATGCTCTGCGCAGCACCTGCGGGTCATTTGGAACATTCTGGACCATAGAACACTGGGACCACGCTAGAGCAGGTCCCCAAGGCCCGGAGGAGTCAGCCTTGAGTTTTGGGATGTGGGGAGGGAAGGTGCCTCTCTGTGGGACAAGGGTGGTCCACGGAAGGAGCGTGTGGTCCCTGGCTCTTTCCCCACCAGCCAGGAGATTTTGCGATGTCCTAACAGCCCGCTGGCTGCCAGCTCAGGTGACAGTTCTGTTATAATCACCTCCATTTTATACCAGGCAGATGCCACCTCTGCCCGGAGGGTGCTTCCTGAATTTAGACCTGGGCTGGGCCCAAGCCATTCATCATTAGCTCCTGGTGTTTGGCTGCGCTGTCCCCGACCAGGGGCTCCCCTTCTGGCTGCTCCCCCCAAGGCCTGGCCCAGGGCCTTCCCCCTGACCCTGTGGGTGCAGCCCAGAGGGGGACGGGAAGGGTTAACGGGCCACAGCCCAGGGCCCGGGCAGAGCTGGCCCCTGCCTTAGCCTTTCATCTCCGCAGGCTCCAGGTGAGCCGGGCAAGAGCGAGGCTCCTTTGATTCCCGCGGAGGCTGGCGGCTGGGAGCCAGAATCAAAAGCAGCCGCAGCAGTGCCCCAGGGTCCCTGGCTTGGCAGCCCTGAGCCTGGGTCCCCTTCCTGGGGGCAGACCAGAGCCGGAGAGGAGCTGAGGGAGAGGGGACCGCGGTGGGGGAGGCCGGGTGCCGGCTCAGCCCCAGCTCAGGTCYGTGGGAGCCGGCCTCCGGAGGCCAGGTGGAGCGGCCCTTCCCTGGGGCGGGCGACCTCGGGGTTCAGGCCTTGGGTGAGAGCTGCGGGGGGCTGGGGAGGAAAGGCCAGGAATCTAGAAGGAGTCAGTCAGGAGGAGGTGACAGGCCCATTCTGAAGCAAGATGAATGGCTTTCAGTTGGCGAAAATGATCCTAATTTATAATCTGCTTCTTGCTGCCGCTCGCCAATTAATTCTCTATAGATACATAAATAGGCCGCGGGTTTGCTTTGCCTCCAACGCAATAAACATTACACTCTGTCCCCTTCTTTTGTGCCGGTTCCTGTCATGGCATTAGTCCCCACAGCTAATTCCTCACACCTGTCTCCGCGCCCGGGAGCCGGCTGAGCTGAGCKGAGCAGAGCTGGGCTCCGGGAGGCCGCTGGCACCGCTGGCACCGAGATAAATGACGTCCAGGCTGCGCCCCCAGGGGGCTCCCCGCGGGAGGAGGGAGAGGCACGGAGCCCCTCCCCCCTTCCAGACTCTAAGTCACCAACGTCACCTCACCAGTCACCAGCGTTGGGACCTGCTTCCTAAGGAGAGGGGGAGGCACGGGCACTCATCGCCACCTCTGATGGTCCCTTGAAGTCACAGGCACCGACCCCCAGGCCACCTGCTCTGGCCTTTGCGTTGCTCTCCGCCCGGAAGCCACCCTCCTCTAAGAGGGCCACCTCTTCTGTGTCTTCTGCACATGTCCCCTCCTCAGGGAGAGAGTCCCCTGACTTCCTGTCCTCAAACGGAGCCTCCCCTTCAGGCGCCTGTGCCCTTCCTTCTCTGACTCTCGCAGCACGGCCGTTGACACGCTGGTCACTTGGCGAGCTGCTCCTGTTCCCGGGAACATTTCCAGGTGTCTAGGGGGAAGGTGCCACGGGCACACTTGTTGAAGGGATGGAAGAGGTGGGTGGCACCCGAGGGGTGGAAGACGGGCCCAAGGACCGGAATGACATCTCCCTGCATCTTGTCATTCCTCCTGGCCCCAAGGGGGAGGCTGAAGAGAAGCAGGGGCCGGTGGGCGGCGATTTGCCCAGGTTGACACAGTGAATTCGTGGCAACGTCGGGTTTGACCCTGGTCCTGGGCTCTTCTGGAAGGTGGCTCAGCCCACGGAGATTTTTCCAGGTGGGGGCTTGAGGAAAATGGAACTCAGGGAGGCTGTGAGTCGCCCAAGGTCATGCAGTCATTTACTCAGTCATAACTGAGTAACTACTCTGTGCCCAAGCTCTCCAGGTGACGAGGACATAGCAGTGAGCAAGACAGGAAAGGTCCCCGCCCCGGCTGCACTCATTCTAGGAGTTGAGAAGTCGATGTAAGTGTCAGGAAGTGGGACGAGCTCAGAGAGTAAATATCCAGGTGAAGGGGGAGAGGGGGTGGGCGAGGTGGCGCCATTTAACTTGCAGTGCCAGGGAAGTGCGCCATGCCCAGCTCATCCGGGGTCCCACAGACAAGGAAGCAGCCCGTGAGCAGGGAGCCCATCTCCACGCTGGAGATCTGTGTGCTCCAAGTGTTGATTCTCCCCCAGTTGAACTGTGCTGCACTAAAAGTGAGCACTGGTCAGCGAGGACCACGACACGGTGAAGCAAGGAGCACCCAGCCCCAGAGGCAGCACGGGAGTTGGTGCCTGAACCCTGAGTGGGAGAGGCCTGGGGCGGGGGCTGCAGGGGAGCGGGGGAGGCTGAGGAGCCTGGGCTCTGGGGAGGGCAGAGACAGACCCTGTTTGTCGATTTTCAGGGGTAAATACTCACAACAGGGTCAATTTCAAGGACTTGCAAAAGTGGCTTGCAAAATTCCTGGGGAAAAAACTAACAATTGCTTTGATAAGCCAGTGTCCGCCAGCTGCAGCGCGGGACCGCTTCGGGCCTCGCTGAGGGGTCCTGGAGCAGGGTTCACACAGGGGAAGGCAGCTTCCTGAACCCTGATTTTGTGGTGCTGGGGACTGAACCCAGGGCGGTGGGTATGGGAGGCGACACTCTACCTACTGAGCCACTCCCCCAGCCCCACCCCCATTTGTTTACATGATAGAAAACCAGGGCCCAGCAGAGACTGGGAGGCTGAGGCAGGAGGATGGAAGTTCGTGGCCAGCCTGGGCAACTTAGGGAGACCCAGTCTCAGAATAAAGAATAAAGAAGCTGGGAACGCAGCTCAGGGGTAGAGCACCGCCCCCCACCCCAGGTTCAATCCTCAGCAAAAGAAAGAAGGAAGGAGGGAGGGGAGAAAAAAGAGAGAGAGGGAGGGGGAGAGAGAAAAGGAGGGAAGGAAGGAAGAAGGGAGAGACGGATGAGTGAAACCAAGTCAAGACCGGGCCAGGGACTTGCCCAAAACAAGGGACACAGCTCAGACTGGGAGGAGAGAGGTGCCCGGGTGACCAGCCCCCCAGCTTCTTCCCATTGCCCTGAGGCTGACAGTCGAGGGCTCTGTGACCCACGGGGGCAGGAGAGAAGCGCCAGGGCCTTGTACTCCAGCCAGAGCAGCTCAGGGGGAGAGAGCTTTGTGCCTCTGCTGGAGCTGGAGCTGGACGGATAAACAGGACTTCTCCAGGAGACAAGGAGGAAATGGAGCTCCGAGGGCTAGGAACAACACTGAGAAACCTCAGGCTGTGATGAAAAAGATAAAATAGCCTGACTACCAGGATATAAGGTGCAAGAAGAGAGCAGCAAGAAGACAGCTCCAAGCCGGGTGGGGGCGCACGCCTGTGATTGTAGTGGCTCGGGAGGCTGAGGCAGGAGGATCTCAAGTTCAAAGCCAGCCTCAGCAAGTTAGCAAGGCCCTAAGCAACTCAGGGAGACCCTGTCTCAAAAGAAAAAAAAAAGAGAAAGAAAGAAAGGAAGGAAGGAAGGAAGGAAGGAAGGAAGGAAGGAAGGAAGGAAGGAAGGGCGAAGCTGGAGAGGTAATGCCCTGTCCCTGTGCTGAGGTCACCCTGGTGGCTCTCAGGTACTGCAGGGAGGCTATTTCTAGATGGGTGTCCCCATCTTACCAGAACCCACCGAGGGAGGACCGCAGTGGGGGGGAGGCCCTCTCCAGTGTCCCTGCCCTGCCCTTCCAGTGCTCAGAATGTCATGTACCCYGTGTTGGGTGCCTCCGCTTGAACCCCTGGCTGCTCCCCTGTCCCCTCTGACTGCTCCTCTGGGGCCAGGAATAGAACCGCACACCTGAGGGCCTCCACTGGTGGAGATTTGATGGGCCTTCCGGCTTTCTCCCTCCCCCGCACCTGGGCTGGGCGCTGCAGCGGCCCTGGGGAGAGCCAGGTGAATAATTCAGGGAGGCGAGTGTTTGAAGTGTGTTCTGGAGGGGYGTGTGGCAGCGCTGTCCCCCCCTGCCACCCCAGGGAAGAGGCTCCACAGGGATGGCCCAGGTGCTGGAGCCCTGTGGTCTGCTGTCTTCACAGCCTTTCAGGAAGCCTCGGGGGACTGACTGTTCACATCCCCACAGCCACCTGCAGTCAGGCCTCAGGCCGGCAGAAGCTGGCTAGGGCAGGCGACATGGGAAGGGGGTGGGGGAGGYGGCTCTTGAATCTGGGGCCCAGACTGAGGTTGCAGGAGGGTGGCAAGGGAGGGCCAGGCGGCTGGATAGCTCCTGGGCTGACTCCAGGCCAGGACCGTGTCTGCTGTCCATGGTGCTGCCACCGCTTAGACCCGCTGGAAATCCTGGATCTGCAGGAGCTCCCCGGCCCTGCACATCCCTAGGCGCCGGGCTCTTCCTTTCCCCACTTCAGTACCCCCCACCCCGCAAACAAGGGCCTTGCAGTCTGCTACCTCGGCCCTCGGCAGCACTTTCATTTAGCCGTCCGCTCATTCACCATCAAATGTTTGTTGAGCACTTACTACGTGCTCCCTCCAGAGGCTGCAGAGTGAACAGAACAGACTCAGTCTCGAGCTCCGGAGCTGACGTTCCACCCCGCGCCCCGTCCTCGGAGGAGAAAGGGGGAGGGCAGGGAGGGCGCCGGGCTCCAATCCTGTCCCCCCTGTTCTGGGTGCGCAGGCAACCGCTCTCGCCTCGGCCTGGGTTTCCCTCTCTGCAGCACCGGGCGGGCGACGTCCCCTCCGCAGAGCCGGTGTCGCCGTCCCGTTAATGATGGAAAACGCTCACTCCGGGCGTCTGGCATGGACTCGTYTATTGAAGCTTGGCCCCGTCTTCTGAAGCAGGCACGAGGAGGTCGCCATCCCTGTTCTCCCTACCAGGGAGCCAGAGGGACAGGCGACGCCGCTCGCCCGGGGTGGCGCAGCGGGGAAGTGGCGGCGACGGGATTCGCACCAGACCGCCGGCCCCGGGCCTCGAGGACCGGGACGAGGTGCTGAGGGCGCCGCTGCCAGCTCCCTGGGCGCCCCCCACCTCCCCCGCGGCGTCCCGTCCACGCAGCCCGCGCCTCCCCTCCGCCCCGCACTCCCGTGTGGCCGAGCAGGTCCCGCTCGGTGGCCCGGGGCCTGGGGGGGGGCCGCACCGCCTCCGGGAGGGGCCCGAGGTGCCCCGACGGCTCGCCCGCCCCGCCCCGCCCCGCCCCGCAGCGCCGGCCGCCCGCCCCGTCCCCGCGCTGACATTTCTTGGGTTGTTGGTGTCGCGGCCCTTCAGTCTGCGCGGTTTTACAAATGTGCTGGGAGATGAAAGGCGCGGGGACAGCGACTGGAGAGCAAGTTCGGAAAAGCTTTTAACTTCCAGCTCCCACGGACCGAGGGGGAGGGGAGGCCGGAGGGAAGAGGGAGGGGAGCCGAGGAGGGGGGAGGGGAGGGGAGGGAGGGGGGAGAATCCCCCGAAATGAAGGTAGGGAGCCCGGAGGCTGAGGATGGGGCAGAGGGCCAGGGCCCCAGGGTGGCTGGAGATGGGCAGAGATGGAAAGAGACCCAGAGACACGCAGAGAAGAGGCGACAGGACCTGAGGACACGGGAAGAAAGGCAGGGGGAGGAAGCGGAAGGACCCAGGCCGCCTGGAAGGAGGCACAGGGGAGGGGAGTCAGAGAAGGGTGGACAGACAGAGTGTGAGAGGCCCAGACAGGGGTGAAGAGGGTCGCAGATGACAGAGGGAAGTGAGGCCCTGTGGGATCTGGGTGTGGGGTGGGCAAGGGCAGGAAAGGAGAGGAAGAGCCAGGGAGTGTGGCAGACACACACACACACACACACACACACACACACACACACACACTCTGCCCTTCGCTGACACCTGCTCAGACTCGCGGCCCCCTGGAGCAGACCTGCTGCTGGGGTTGCAGCAGTGGCTCCCAGCAGGCTGATTTTGCCCTTCCGGAGTCACATATTTGGTTGTCACAACCTGCATATGGGGAGGGGGATGGTGTGTGTAGGCATCTGGTGGGTAGATGCCCCAGACTCTATCAAGCACCCAGCCCCCTTAGCAAGGTCAGTAGAGGGAGCTAGAGGAATCCTGGGCTGGATGGACCCAGAGGCCCAGGGATGCAGACAGTCACTCCAAATGGAGGACTTCTCAGGGTGCCAGACCGTACCATCCTGGCGGAATCTCACAAGCTCCTGGTCCCAGAGTCCTTCCCTGGCCACACCTTTCTCCCATGTCCTCCTCGCCCCTACCACAGCCCCTGGAAGGAGTAGCACTTCCTTCTGTGAACACTCCCCATGTTATAGTACAAACTCGCAGCTCAGACCTACAGCCAAGCCCCTAAAAGCACCAGGTGTGTCACCTGCCCAGAAGCAGTACTCCACACCTGTTCATTGTGGCCCGGCCTGCCTGGGCTGGAACCCCAGCTCTTCTACACACTAATTGTGTGGCCTTGGGCAGGTTTCATAGCTTCTCCATGCCTCGGTTATCCCCTCTATAAAAGTAGATGTTGGTTCCATGAGGATTAAGTGGGACAATCTAGGTGACACGTGTTGACACAGTGGCATAGGGTTGCCAAATGTCACTGTCAAAATTGCCTCATTTTATCTGCATATTGGGAGAAGGGGCTTGTGGGATGCATCATACAGCCTGAGTGGGGCAGAGCTGTGCTCAGAGCCCAGCTCTACCYGTTCTTCCTCTATCACACCACAATGTCTCTTGCTGCATCTGCCACACTGCAGCAGAAGTCCCAGCTTACTTTCTCCCAGACCAAAGTGTCCTGTTTCAATCTGATGTGTCTTCTTGGTGTTTCAACATCCTGTGCCTCAGTTTCCTCATTTGTAAATGGGGCTTGCATTAGCATCTGATTGTTGTGAAGACCTAAAAGCAGAATCATGGCACAGAGCAAGTGCTCAATAATCACTGATGGCGATTTCAATGTGTTCTCAGAGCCTAGCAGAGTGCCTGGCACAGGGACACACAGAGATGTATTGAAGGAAGGAAGAATTGGAGATTAGGTGGAAGTGAGACCAGAAAGAGGAGATGATATGCTGGGAGAAGAAAGGGCGTTCTAATAAAGAGTTCTGGGTAGAAGAGAGCAAAGGGATGCCCATTTATTGAGCACCTACTGTGTGCATGCAGATGTGAGAGCAACAGTGTTTCAAGTCCAAACAACCTGTGGACAATTACGTAGGTCTGACTGGAGATGAACAGCACACACCAGGGCCTGGAGAGAGGGGAAAAGACAGTGGAGCTGGAGAAATGGGAACCGTGGTCGGAGGGAAGGAGAACACAGAAAGTGAAGAGATGCTCTGAAAGGGCCGGCCTCTGAGAGCATGAAAGAGCGGAGGCTAAGAATAGAGAGTGCGGGCAGGGGTGACACAAAGGCAGGCTGGGAGAAGGACTCAGGGCAGGAGACAGGCTGGGCACGTGGGGAACACATCTCCAAATAAACAAAGATGGGTTTCCGGGAGGGGCAGGAGAGCAGCACGGCAGACCCAGGCTGTGGGTGGGACGCAACCAGGGGAGGAGGTGAGACAGGAGCAGGATGAGCTGGGCAGTGTGGGTCCCATGGAGCCTCAGAAGCTGGGACCTGGAGGCCCTGCTGCCTCTTTGCATGGACTTCACCAGCTGGTTGAGAAGTGACAGCGCGGCAGGGGCCGAGGTAGGTGGCCCTTCTGAGCCCTGTCATCCTTCACCTGCCTATCTGGCATTCACGGGGGAGGAGAGACCACTCGGGGGACCCCCAGCCCAAGATGAAGTGTGGAACTACGGAGGAGTCACAGGTCTTCATCCACTGCGACTTCATATTGATAATTAAGAGGCGGGGTGAGGCRTCTCCTGGGTGAGGCTTCATGGCAGCGAGATGAGACTCAGGACAACCGGGCCAGGCAGAAAAGACACAGGCAGCAGGCTGGGGGGTTTTAACCGAAGGGGCGAGCCAGCTGCAGGGGGTTTCTGGGCAAGGGGAGGGTGCTCGGCTTGGGACGGGGCTGTCCCGCCTACCTGCTCAATTGGTTGACTGCAGAGGTGTCCAGAGGCAGGAGAAGCCCACAGGGTTCCCTTCCCGGATACTCGACCTCCCACCTGCCTGGGGACGCWCAGCCCTGGGCACCAGTGTCTGCCACCTCCTGCCAGTGATAATTTCTGAGATGGCCTGGCCTGTGCAAGGGGCCTTTCTAGGCAGGCAGCCAGGGGTGGCCGCGTGAGGAGCCTGCCCCCACCTTCCATCGCACCCGTCCCCTCTGAAGCCAGGCTCCCACGAGGGTGGGAAAGGGAAACCGGACCCAGTGGAGTCAGGTGGGGGGGCAGGGTCGGGCTCCCGGGGCTGCCGAGAGCTGAGCTGCCAGGCGGGGAGCGAGTCGGTCCCCCTCCTGGGGGCGCTCCCTTCGCGCAGATCTGGGGTTGGAGGAGGGAGGGGCACGGTCCCCGGGGGAGGGGCTCCTGGGACTGGGCGGCGAGAGGCAGAGGCCGGCCCCTCCCGGCGGGGGAGGGCCGCGGTCGGGTGGGGGGCGCGGCTCCCGCCGAGGGGTCCGKGCTGGCGGCCGCCTGCGGCTCGGCGCGGCGCTCGGCTCGGCTCTGCCCGGCGGCGCTGCATTCTGCGAGTCTCCACCAGAGGCTGCGGGAGGAAGGCCGGGATCGTCCCTTGCACACTCCCCCAGTCAGACACGCACCCTCCCTCGCTCCCGCTCGCTCACTCCCTCGCTCCCTCGCTCTCTCGCTCACACACACGCGCGCACTCGCCGCCGCGGCTCCCCTCTCGCTCCCGCTCTCCCTCCGGCTCCTCCGGGCGGCCGCGGGCTCCGGACTCGCCGCGCGCCGCGCCGGGCTCCCGCCGCACGCAGCGTCCCGAGGCGCAGGGCTGGGGAGCCCCGGGCCGCTCCCCGAGGTAAGAGCGCCGGGGCCGCGGGGGGCGGCGGGATCGGCGAGGGAGGCTGCCGGCCCGGAGGGCGCCCGGCGGGGAGCGGCGGCGGCGGCGCGGGGGGAGCCTCCCGCCGCAGGGGCCCGGGCCGGCCGCGCCTCCCCTCGGCGGCGGCGGGCGGGCGGCGGGCGCGAGTTTCCCACGTCCAAACTTTCCCCGGCGCGGAGCCGGCCGCCCCCCGGCCGCAGCCCGGCCCGGCTGCCCCCGCCCCGCCGCCGCCGCCCGCGAGCCCGGGGACCCCCGCAGGCCGGGGCCGGCAGCRCGGGGGCCGGGAGGCGGCGCGCAGCCCAGTGGGGCCGGGACCGGGCGCTCGCGCCACCACCCGCGCTGCCGGGGCTCGGCTCGCGCCCTCCCGGAGGCGGGTCCGGGCCGGGAAATACCGCACGGCGGAGCGTGGGCGCGCGGTGTGCKCGCGAGGTCGGGCCGCGTCCGGGGTCCCCCAGAGGCGGACTCCAGCGGCGGCGACACGCAGGGCTGCGGCCACCTCAGGGTGCGGGCATCCGGCGCTCAGGGACTCCTACGGGCGGGCGCGACCCTGCGCCCTCCAGCCGTCGGGGTGACAGGTCCTCTTTCTTAAGATCTGACTCCGGGGACACTGTTCCCGCCACGGAAGACGGACGGGGCCCCGACAGCCTCACGTCTAAAGGGAGTGCCACTTAGGACTGGCCCCCGGGCCGGGGCGCTTAAGGCGGAGGATGGACTATGGGCGCGGAGTCCTGGACCTTCCTCTGTGGGCACCGAGGCCCCCTCTGGCTCGCGCCTCTGGACCTGATCTCCCCACTCCCTCTTCTGTGGCACCGTCGGGCTCCTGCCTCAGCTGGGTCCCCACGGGAGACCACCAGGCGGGGCTGCAGCGCCAGGAGCTGAGCCGGATACCCCGGGGTCTCCCGGGCTGCGGGGGCACCCCCTGGTGGCGGGCAGGAAGCCGGCGGAAGGCTTCCCACAGGCACTGCTGGGAGCCCTCTTGCCTGGCCTCCCACCCTTGCCCGCGTCGCAGAGGTTGCGCGTGCCAGCTGCTATTTCCGTGGGTCTAATTTCAGCACCCTCCGGGTCCCTGGGATTGGCCAAGGTGCCCCAGCACCCGCCACCGTTCATTTGAGGACTCTGGCTGCTGCCAGCCTTCTGTTGGCCTCTCCAGGAGCCGGTGCTCCATCTCATCGTCTTCTTCCCCCAACGGTCAGCGCCACTGCCCTACATGGACATCTCCACTGCGTAGAATCCCAGGACCCCTCCCTAACCTTCATGCCCCTCCGCCCCATTCACATCCCTGTACTTGCTCATCAGCGCCCACCCGGCCCCTTTAATCCCTCCCGTCCCACAGCCCTGCCTGCAGTTTCCCTGTGTGCCCTAATGATACSCGTCGTTGGTGTCCTAGTCTTTGCCCATCCACGATGATTTCTCCTTCTGGCTCCCATCCTGCCTGCCTCAGTGTCTCCCTGGTCACCTGCCCCTCAGATCTGCCACTCCTCCACTCCATTCACCCCCATTCCTCTGCTTCCCAGTGTCCTGATGCTTCTCTTCCATGCCCCCTGAAAGGGATGGCCAGGGCCACCTTTAAGCACTATCCCTGGGAGTGGCCGTGTGCTCCTCTGGGAACTCAGAGCTGATATTTTGCAACTGCCCTCAGCTGAGGACCCTGCTCCTCCTGGGAGCCCTGTTGCAGGTTCCTGGAGACAGAACCCGTCCTCTCTTCCTGACGGTTACCACACTGGAGGCACCTGGGCTGCCTTCTTCCCCATTTAAAGTACTAGAAACGGAGGCCCAAGGTCACATGGGAAAGTATCCAGAGTCAGAAATTGGGACCCAGGTGTCTTGACTTGCAGACATTACCATCGCCCTAGTGCGATGGGCAGGTCTGGGAGAAGCAGAGCAGGAAGACCAGGCTTAAAAGCGGCCTGAGAGCCGGGCACCGTGCTGCACACCTGCCATCCCAGCAGCTTGGGAGGCTGAGGCAGGAGGATCACGAGTGCAAAGCCAGCCTCAGCAACGGTGAGGTGCTTAGCAGCTCAGTGAAACCCTGTCTCTAAATAAAATACCAAATAGGGCTGGGGGTGCGGCTCAGTGGTCGAGTGCCCCTGAGTTCAATCTCTAGTACAAAAAAAAAAGCAGCCCGAGATGTTTAAGTCAGACCCCCCCCCCCCCCAGCCCCTGTGCTGGGAAACCAGCTACGTGGCTTCCACAGAGAAACCTAAATAACAGACACTGAAGACAGACTTGGTCCCTAAAAGAGTATTGTGACCCCAGGCAAGTCACAGTTCTTCTGTCAAGGGGGGGTGCGAGGGTCTCAGGGTGTTTCTGGCGGTGGCCTATGGGACGGAGGCTCCAGGCTGGACTTCCAACGGCTCCGTCTCCCCCCGCTCCCCAAACCCTGATTTTCCGAGGATCTGCATTCCGGGGAGCTGCATTCTGAAACCCTCTCAGGGCAGGGCTCTAGGTGGCCGTCCCCTCCCTGCGAGCAAAGTGGGCAGCAGCCGGTTTGCTCACCACTGGGCTAGGGGGGTCGGACGATCAAATCTCCTCTCCTCTCGGGTTCTCTCCCAGTTTTCCTTCCATCAGGAAGTTCCATTTGGAAATGCATCCTCAGGTACAGAGAGAGAGAGAGAGAGAGAGAGAGAGAGAGAGGGAGAGAGAGAGAGGGAGAGGGAATGGCTCCGTTTACATAACTCGGGCAGCGGCTGCTGTGTGGCCTGGGAGGCGGGGCTGGGTCTGAGGGGGAGGCAGGTGGCTGTGAGGGTAGAGGTGGCCCTGAAGAGGTGGCTGGGCTGGGGCCCAGGGGGTGGGCTTCCCCGTCCCTCCCAGATGAGCAGGGAGCAGGCCAGGGGTTGGGGACAAGGTGGGGCGACCACCAGCATTCCTCTGAGAGAAGGAAGGCCCCTGCCCAGGTCAGGTCCCCAGCGAGGGTGCTGGGCCCTCCACCCTGCACCCACCCTCCCTCCCGGGGTCTTTGGAGACCTACGATGGAACTCCTCATAGGAAGTRTCTGCCTCCTAGGGCCGCGGGTTCTGATTCCGACCCCTTCAGAGAAAGCCTAGGAGCCCCCACCCCACCCCAGCCGTCAGGACAGGTGGTGACCTCAACTTTCCCCTCAGGCCAGTGGGTCTAAAGGACTGTCTTTTCTCTCCTGGGTGAGGCAGGCAAGCATTAGCAGGAAAGTTCCATCTAATTTGTGTTCTAGGTATCTGGCAAGGTGGATGAATGTTTTTGTCATTGAAGATGACTCAGTGTGGCTATTAAGGGACCAGGGTGCAAGACGGGAAGGCTGGAGGTGTGGCTGGCATGTCCAGGAGGGTAGGTTGTTGACTGTCCAAGGGCGCTTAATCAGGAGGAGAAGAGTGGCTGAAATCTGTTTTCAGCTCCACTCAACAAGTCAGGTGCCCTAAAGGCAGGCTCTGCTCGGAGGAAGGGGCACCTTTCTTTAATTTGCAAAGAGGCCTCCTCTGGTGTTACCCATGGCCTGTGGAGCTGCTTGTCCCCAGAGAAGCAGGCCTTCTTGAGTTAGCACAAAGGTGGCCCAACTGGGGTCCCGGATACACACCCCGCTCCTTGGCCCAGTTCCCTGACAGTGGGACGCAGCCTTGGAGCTGGGTCTGACCCGAGGTGCAGGAACCTGGAGCTTCCATCACCCCCAGTGTTGTCTCCCTCCCTATCAGCGGGCTCCCTCTGGCTGTCACATGGAGAGGAGCCTGGGGACTTCTTACTTCCTCATCAGACCCACAAGCCTTCGCCATCCACTGGCTACCAGCTCCTTCCTTCATATAATATCAATAGCTGCTCAGGAACAGAGGCATTGGAGAGTCAGACCCGCCTCGGTTTGCAACTGGGTGGCTGTGTGACTTCAGGAAAGTTACTTCACTTCTCTGAGTCTGTGTCTTCCTCTATGAAGTGGAAGGAAAATAGACCTCACTGGGTCATTGTGAAGTTAAATATGCAAGCATGTGTGCGGTGCTTAGCCCGGYGCCCACCACACAGCACACTCTGCAAACAGAGCGGTATTGTTACTCTTAACGTCCCCTGGCTCTGACCCTCAGTTCCCACAGGGCTGAAGTCAGCGACTTCTGTTTGGCTCCGCGCATGACCTTGGCTGCCTGGGGAGTRGGGTCGGGACCACCGGGATGTGCTTCTGACCTCGGGGTCCTCCATGGACGGCCCTGGCCTCAGGGGTTTTTTGGAGGCTGCCCAGGCATACAGCGTCCCCCAGGTTCCCAACACCCTGGTTCCCCCCACGCCCCCTCCCAYCACCCTTCTCAGCCCTCACAGGCTTCGGCCTGCACCACTGGGCAGCCCCTCCTGGCCCCCGGCCCCCGGTCCCCTCCCGCCGCGCTCCCTGCAGCGGCCAGAGCCATCTTCTCCAGCGCAGGTGGGATCATGTCACTTCCTTGATTAAAACCCTTCCATGGCTCCCCATCGCCTACTGAATTAAGTCCAGCTCCTCCGCACAGTGACACTCAAGGTCCTTGTCATCCGTCTGCCTCCCCCTTATCCCCCACCGGGCCTCCAGGCCCACTCTCCCGCGCAGCCACACCTGCCCTTCCACCTGGTGGCCCTCCCCTGGCGATCTTGCAGCGGGTTCAAGACCCAACCCCACAGCGCCCCATCCTCACCCGCCCGCCGCCTGCTGGCCCCCCGACCGGTCGCTCCCACTTTCAAACGTCCACTTACACATTTTTGTCAGGCGT